TTATATATATGCTGAGATTTTGTAAATTCCGGTTTAAGAAAACTTTGATAAAGCTATTAGCATTAGATAGCGAAACGTCAGTAAAAACAATATCGTTTTGTTTTCCATTCATTGGGAAATACAGAAACCTTTATTGTAATGAATATTATATACCCAATGCCCAAATTTTTTCAAACTGTTAAAAGTGAACTTAGTTTGGATATATATAACTTATCATCAAAACTTTTTGCATTATATATCAAGAGGAGTGTCACAAGCGTTAACACTTTCTATGTGGAAATTGATTAATATCGTTGACTGAACTACACCACTTTAGTTTAAATTGAACAAAGACTACTAGTTCCATATTAATTTGTTTATCAGATGCATCACACAGTGAAACAGTATTATTATTTACTGGATGACAATGCTTCGAACACAATTTATCATTGTTCACAATCATATCAGTTATAATCACACAACTAAGAAACTTCAGTTTTATAGTTGTTTTCTTTGTTCTTTACTCTTTGTCGTCGTTGGAGTGGTAGAATTTTCCAGATGCTTGGGTGGACAGGAGTTGAGTCATTCCTATTACACGTGTTTGCAGTTGATTCGATGAACAAAGCCCCCATGGTTGTTGATCTCTCCCTCCACTCAGTTGTTACATTGGATTTTAAAACTGTCATCTTATCCCATCACCCAATTGTATGGTTGTATGTAATTGTATATGGTGTCATCTTCTGCTGAACTATTCTCCAAATTTCTTATCTTATTTGTGTCAACTAATCTAGATTTCGCTGCTAGGTTTTTATGTTCTGCTAGTATGACTGCCCCTGTTCTACTAGTTTGACCTGTGTATTTGACCTGACAATCATTAAACGCAGCGTGTTAGATAAACTAAATTATTTTGTTTTATTGGCTTTACAGGATCCTTTTTTTGCTTTAATTGCTGAATTTCATATCTGATATGCTGCAACTTTTTAACAATTCTGTGGATCTCTTCTTTCAAGCATAATTTTTGTAGACTTTCTATTCTGCTTCTAACTCTGTCCGTCGGAACTGGAGCTTGTAGACGTATGTATTTAAGAATGATTTCATTTTTCAAGCATTGAATGTTGAAAATACGATGATTTTCATATCTTGCTTCAGTTTGTGAAAGTCGAGTGAGTTTGTTGATTAGTCTTCTTGAAGGAAGACCATAAGGCCATAAGGATCCTGTGGAGTCTATTAAACAAAGCAGTTAAGTTTATCTTAAACCCCTGCTGTAGTGATTATCATGTCAAATACATAGGTCAAACTAGTAGAACAGGGGCAGTCACACTAGCCAAGCATAGAAACCTAGCAGCAAAATCTAGATCAGTTGACCCAAATAAGATAAGAAATCTGGAGAATAGTTCAGCTATACCACTTACTACATGCAGTTAAACACAAGCACACAATAGGATGGGATAGGATGACAGTTTTAAAATTCAATCTGACATCTGGGTGGAGGGAGAGATCGATAACCACGGAAGCTTTGTCTATCGAATCAACTGCAAACACGCCTGATAAGAATGATTCAACTTCTGTCCGCCCAGACATCTGGAAAATTCTACTACTGCAACGACGACGAATATGAGGGAACATAGAAAACTATAAAAGTGAAGTTTCGAAGTTGTGTGATTATAATTGATGATATGATTAAGAACAACGATAAATTGTGTTCGAAGCATTGTCATCCAGTAAACAGTAATACTGTTTCACTGTGTGATGCATCTAATAAACAAACTAATATGGAATTCCTTACTACCACAGTGCCCAAGTTTTACACATACATTAAAGTGATTGCTTATATGATAAAAATAATAATAAAATTAAGGATTCATGAATCGGCAAAGACATCCCCTGTTTTCGTAACTTCACTTCAAAGCTGTACAGTTATCTAGGGGGTTTATATATGCAATGTAGATTGAAAACAGAGGTCAGAGGTTATTCTCCGTTAGTAACAAAGTAAATCAAAGTGTATGGATAATATTCCTTTACGTTCCCAGCGGAACATAGGGGGCTTCAAGCTAGAGCCGGCTTGAAGTTTCAGTAGCAGTGGTGTTTATTTATGTTTCCGGGATGGGATCGCTAGCCTCACGCCCAACCTACCCTCTTTTCCAGTCTTAGTGGAGTGAAGGAGTGTTCTCGTGACCAGGGACCGAACCCCGGACCACGTGAGGCGTGGTTAGTGAGCATTATACCACTGTGCTACCGATGTGATGAGATAAAGTGTATTTGTCGTAGCTGTTTTCAATCCGCTTTTTTTAAAAGAAACATGTTCATGAAATCTTAGATGAGGTATATATTTCTTTAAATTATTTCGAATACATATCAATAACAACTGGGAGAAAACCACAAAGTCTAATGCCTTTCTCTTTTGCCATCATTTATTCAACATAGAATATACTACTTTTACTGACAGAATTCACTCTGCACAAAACAGAGGACTAGATGTATGACACGGGTTACTAACTAGTGTCCAATACACTCAGTCCTACAGAAGGTCAATCACAAGGCCAAATAGCTTAGTGATATTGTCTATGACCGCAGCACTTGGTGACGACAAGGGTTCGAATCTCAGAAGGGATAGGAGTTCCTTCAAGTTGACTTCAGATACACAGTGCTGACTCACTGGTGAATGCCAACAAGCACGAGACCTAGTTCGGAGGCTTCATGTGGCCGACTGTCTCCAGCCATCTTACATCAACAATTCACAGTACACCGTAATGGATAACCACCTAGAATGGGGTTGGTCGCGCTAAATCACAAATTGGTTGAAGTTAGAATTCATGAGCCACTGAATCGGGTCCCAGTTGCTGAATGGTAAACGAGCTTGCCTTGTAACCGGAAGGTCCTGGGTTCGAATCCCAGTGGGTGCGTACTGCCGATGATTCCCAAACTAGGATGAAACAGCAGCTGTCCAGTACTCCCTGGTTTTCAATGATAATAATTTCATTATCAAAATCATACAGCACAGATGCCTTGAGATACATTTCGTGTAGCTGTCCTACTTTGCTTTCCAAAAGTTCCCCCGACAATATAGGGACGCTAAAAGTGGTATAATTGTACTTAGTTCAAACATAGTTACAACTTATCTATTATAACATGTGAAATCTTTTTTTACTTTTTGTTATTATATGTGCAAGAAAATATTTCAAGTATGAAACAAACAGATGGTGTAGCAGTAGGCTGGATCACAAATATCCCCTATCGTAGCAGATATCTTCATGGACATCTGGGAGAATATTGCTCTAAATACATTTAATCCTTCTCCCAAAATATGGTGGAGATATGTGGATGACACTTTTACAGTGTTAAAAACAGAACATAGCTCTCTCTAGCTTCTTGACGCATATAAACTCACTAGTAAAGGGAATAAAATTCATATTTGATTCAGTAAATGAACAAGGAGAATTAGCTATGATGTTAGATTGCAAAATAAAATGAACGGAAGAAGGTAAGCTATACACCAGCTTTCATAAAAAGACAATGCATTCTGCTAATTCTCATCCGTTCGTTATCTGTAAAGGCTGGCTCAGTTGTCTAACAAATCCATTGTCTAACAAACCAAGCAGTAGGACTACAAAAAAACTTAACGATGAAATGAAACAGTTAGAAGGGGCGTTGGTATTAAATAACTATCCTATAAAATTCATTGAGAATATCAAAAGAGGTAAAAGCAAAACAAAAATAATAGTGAAACGAATAATGATAACATAAATAAGGAAGAATATAAGCCATCTACAGTTTTACCATATACTTGAGGGACATCTGAGACCTTACGTAGCCTTCATAATAAAGCAGGAATTAGGATGGCATTCAAACCAACAAACTCACTCAGGTAGGACAAGCTCTGTAGGTTGACCCAATTAGACAAAATAATATAATTTAAAAAATACCTTGCAATGATTGTGGGTGAGGTCAACTACATAGGTCAAACAGACCAGTAGATCAGAAGTAGTCAAAGTGTAAGAACATAAAAATTTAGGAAAGGTCAGAATGATTGATCCCACCCACGAAGACAAGTAATTTAGAAAACAACTCAACTGTAGCACTACGTGCATTAACACACAACCAGACAATAGGGTGTGTGGGACAGAGTCAAAATTCTAAAAAGTAATGTAAGTAGGTGGAGAGAGAGAGATTGATTTCTGAATCCTGCCTGGTGCATCGAGTCTACACCCAACACATGCAACAGAAGTGACTCAACGCAAATACCAGAGATATGGAAGATATTATTACCACCAGTCAGTCAAATCAGAGAAGGATAATAAATAATGTTCAAATGTATGTATTCAATTCACATTCTAACAAGTTATTTATCGATTTTACTATAAAACCATCTTATTTCCCATCTTATTGTATTTTATTGATAAATCTAATACTAATACTATTTCCGAATGTACTTTATCTTATTTTATTCAAATGTCTAATCATCAATTTGTACTCAAGAATATAAATGAAGGAAGAAAGTTGTGTGAGTGAGTGCCTTGATATGATTATGAGCGGCAATAATTTGTGCTCGAAACGTCATCAGATAATATTACTGTATAACAAACACTGTGTGATTTATCAAAATAAAATCTTATCCATAACAGAGTTATACTTTACCACAGTGCCCAAGTTTTATACTTATATGAAAGTTTAGAATTTTCTACTAATAATATTGATAATAATTTTTTTAAAACGTTTTGTAAATTTTATTGCTTTGGATTCTGAGTGGAGCACAGGGTACTTCAAGCTTGGTGGGCTTTGAGCTTTTGATAGCCGTGGTGTTTATTTTTACGAGGTGGGATTGCTAGCCCACCCACGCCCACCCTTCCCTCTTTACCGGTCATACTACCAGTTTAGCGATGTGTACGAATGCATCGGGTGGGTGCGGTGATCAAACCCTAGACCACATGAGGCGTGGTCGGCCAACATTCTACCGTGGAACCACCTACGCATACTGGTAATACAATACACAATCAGATCAATACAACAAAACAAGCACTTACCGATTATTCTCTTCTAAGCATATCACATTAAATTCATACAATTCACTTGTTGTAGGAATATTCTCAGTGTTGATTTTCTCTTTCTTTTTTTTCTGTTTTCTCAATTTATCCTGCTTTCGGTGTCTTGGTGTCGCTTGTAAATCATCCTCTGTATTCATAACTGGTTTCAAATAAAAAACTTCAATTATTTCTAAAGCGATGATCGTTCATTCATTCCAGGTAGTAGAACAGAACATCATTCGATTTTACTTTCAAATGTTCTTTTCCTTCTATTTTTTGTTGATGTTGTTTTTATTTCTGTTTTTTTTATAAGATTAAAATCACTAAAAGATTAATAACTCATCTGCTGTGAGTATCAATTCATTGAGAGTATAATCTCAGTGAATTAAATTTTTAACCAATCGAATGAGGCGATAATCATTTGTCGATTCAGAGTAATTACCTTGAAAGTACAACCATATATGTATATATAGTCATAAATTCATCATTCTTCAAATATTCTTTTAAGAGTGCAAACTGACAAAACCTATAATACTCAATGAGCACTTTTATTATATATATATACATATATATATAACCAAATAAATATGCAAACACTCCATTTAAGATTAAAAAAGTTACACGCCTTCATTAATTACACTATTGAATAACATATTTTTTAAGCGTTGATATTAAATGGTAATATATGTGTAAAACTTGAGCACTGTGGTAGTAAGTAGTTCCATATTAGTTTGTTTATTTGATATATCACACAGTGAAACAGTATTATTTACTGGATGACGTTTCCAACAAAATTTATCGTTCATAATCATATCAATTGTAACCACACGACTTTGAAACTTGATTTTTATAGTTTTCTTTGTTTTGTCCTATTTGTCGTATGGGTAGTAGAATTTTCTATTCTCTAGATTTCTTATCTTATTCGGGTCAACTAATCTAGATTCTGCTGCTAGATTATTATGCTCGGCTAGTCTGACTGCCCCTGTTCTACTAATTTGACCTGACAACCATGGCAGCAGAGTATGAGATAAACTAAATTGTTTTGTTTTAAAGGCTCCACAGGATCCTTTAACCGACAAAGCTTGTTTCTAATTGAGTTTGTAGATGGGTCGAATGCCACTATTATTCCTGCCTTGTTAAGAATTCTGCGTAAGGCTTCCGAGGTTCCTTCCTTGTATGGAATTACTACTGATGATTTAGATTCCTTATTATTGGTGTCGTCATTAATATTATTATTATTATCACAGTGGTTAGGACTCTCGCCGACCATGCACATGGTCCAGGGTTCGATCCCCTGCCGGCGCACACCCGATATCTATGGTCGGCCTGAATTTGGGCTACCGATATCCATGCTGAAAATTCCACACTTGTACTGAAAATACGGTGTGGAATCAAGCTGTAAATCAAAATAAATAAATAAATAAATATCATTATTTTATTTTTACATTTCCTTACATATTTCCTGACTAATTTATCCTGGTAATTATTTAGTTTCAAGGCTTTTTTTATGTGTATCAATTCTTGTTTTAGATTTTCTTTGGTACTGCTTTGTTTAGTAGTAGTTTAGCAGGAATAAAAATGGCATTCAAACCCACAAACTCAATTAGAAACAAGCTTTGTCGGTTAAAGGATCCTGTAGAGCCTTTAAAACAAAACAACTTAGTTTATCTAATACCCTGCCGGAATGATTGTCAGGTCAAATACATAGGTCAGAGTAGTACATAAGGGTCAGTCAGATTAGTGGAGTACAAAAACCTAGCAAAATCTATATTGGTTGACCCAAAGAAGATAAGAAATCTAGAGAATAGTTCAGCTATAGCACTACATGCAGTCACACACAACCATAAAATAGGATGGGATAGAATGAGTTTTAAAATCTAATGTCACTGGGTATAGGGAGAGATTGATAACAGAAGCTTTGTTTATCGAATCAACTGCAAATACATGTAATAGGAATGATTCAACACCTGTCCCTATCCCAAATATCTGGAAAATTCTACTACCCCTACGACAAATAGGAGAAAATAGAAAACTTTAAAACTCAAGTTTCAAAGTCGTGTGATTACAATTGGTATGATTATGAACGATAAATTTTGTTGGAAACGTCATCCAGTAAATAATACTGTTTCACTGTGTGATATATCTAATAAGCAAACTAATATGGGAATGACTGAATGGGAATTTTCAAATTACTAATATGGAATTGATATTAAATGGTTCGAGGCTATTTGCAGACAGGCAGGCCTGGATCTTGGTTAGTGTGTTGGTCAGCACTCATCAGTTAGGGGAGTCCGCATGTGTATGCTGTTCAGGATGACCATGACAATTTCATAAATCGACCATCTAGCTGAGATGACAAAGCACTACCTAAAGAATTCTCTTGAAGTAAAACTACTCTCCATAATTATTAAACTTCTAGTATGATCATTATTTTCATCCACCTTACTAGATTATCCGATGATGCTGATTAGATACTGATTATTCATCTTTCAGTGAATAAGATTCTTTTATTTTTCATTCTTCAGAATTCTTAGATCTAGATATAATGGAGAAGGTTTGTAGTTCAGGTGGATGATTTTGATGTAGTTGTGTTCTTTGACCTGAATTATTTACTTGTGAAGCTTTCATTATCTTACTAGGCTATATCTTCAGTGCATACTTCAGTTTATCGAAGTGACCTTTTAAATTTTTCCACAAATTTACTGGCCAACTCTCCTGGAGACCCGCAACATGACTGGTTGCTTTTCTCTGTTTTCATACCCTCTAATTTACTTGTGGTATTGGTACCGATTGTTTCCTTGACCTGAAGTTGTACGTTTTGTGTATCAGATTTTCGGCTTATGTATTGGTAAATTTTACCTGTGTCAATGTGCTTGTTAATTACTGATTCACTGGAATACTAGGCTTCGAAAAATTCCCTAGTTGTCTTGGTGTTTCCTCTGTCTAATATGTGAACCTTGTTCCAGTCGAATTTATATATGTGGTTGTCTGCATGCAGCGATATAAGGGAGTGGATATCATGTCTTTTGATGGCTAGCTTATGTTCATGGATGTGAAGTCGAACGGGATGTCCACTTTGGCCAATGTTGTGTTTTTGCAGTCATTGCAACTTATTTTACAGATCATGTTGGTATTATCTTCTTTCATTGTTGAGTCTTTCGGTTAGCATAGAGCCAGATGGCTGAAGTGATTTTTTTTATTTTATGCGACGTAAATTCCTAAAAGTTTCAAGAGTATTTCAGTGATTTCTGAGATATCCTTTATATATGGTAGGGCAATTTTCTTTGTGATTTACTTGGGGGCTTTTGGTCAGATAGGTTGGCTTGTTGGTATATGTCATCTGATGAAATTCCGTGGATATCCATTCTTTTTGGAAGACGTCCATAAGATATCTTTCTTTAACTTTCCTTAAGGTGGGAGTGCTGCAATGAGTCCTGGCCTTCGTGAATAGTGTTTGTATGCAATTCCTCTTGTGTGCTTTTGGACTGTTGCTTTGTAATTCAGTATTTGGTCTATGTGAACTGATTTTCTATAAACTTGAGTTTCTAATTCCCCTGTGGTTGTTCGCTTGACTTAGATGTCCAAAAATGGGATTTTGTTCTCGGATTCCTCTTCTCTTGTGAATTTGATGTCGTTTAAGACGTTGTTTATTAAATTGCGAGTCTTATCCAACTCGTTTCTTTTGATCATTACAAATGTGTTATCTACGTAATGTATCTAAATTTTGGGTTTGACCTTTGGCAGGATTATGTTTTCGAGCTTTTGCATCACTGCTTCTGCAATCAGACCAGATATGAGCTATCCCATGGGTGTTCCTTTAATTTGTTCATATATTTGGCCGCTGAACTGCAAATACGATGTTAGACATAGGTTTATGCATTCGATCTAACTTGTGTATTGCATTTTTCAGTGTTCTGGGTTGTGGGAGGCAATGAAAGCTTCGCGAGTAAACCATCCAGCTCAGTTGACACAATTATATCAAAACTCTTAGATCTTATTAATAACTAGGAGTTTAGTTTAGGTTTTTCTTTGTTATGTAACATCATTTATTGCCTTTATTTTTTTCATTACTTCTCAAGATTTGTAGAAAATTAAAAGAGATGACTGTCTTCAACTGAATTGCAGATATTGATCATACCATATAAAGAGAGTAATCTTAAAGCTAAGAGATGTGAAAGGCAATTCGAAACATTCCAGACTTCCGCCTGCACTCCTTATAAGTACCGGAACTTAAAGATAGTAACTTTAAAAAGTCAAGTACACAATGGTCCAGACTGTCAGCTCCTCGAGGAGTAATCAGTGTCATGTATCGGTCAACTTCTCAGTGTAGGCATCAATCAAAGACACCAGCTGTCGTGATACACTTTAGACTGATGTTAGGTGGTTAAAAAACAATCAACATGAGGCCCTGGAATTAAGTTCCATGTTTACTGGTATTATTCAGAACGGTGTACCTGCAATCCATAATCAACTGATGTCACTTTGGAGACTCAAATCTGAGTCACCCAGTGTTCCAATCAGAGAGGTTGTCACAGTTCCAAATGAAGTAGTCAACCAATGAAAATCAGATGTTGAAAACTTCTCGTCAGCAGACATTCAGAATCAAATGAAAGGTTCTATCCAAGGTCACCTGGTATCCTTTTAGGCTAGTGTATTTAAGTCTTTCCAGTGAGTCTTCAGTTTTTCAGCATTTTCCCCAACAAATGACTCTCCATGATGGCAGATCATTTTTTGATCCATGAATTCGCCAATAAATGTTTCAACAAAGTACTCAAAACACTTAAATGAGAGAATTCTAGCGTTCCCTGGAGGAAAATACAGCACTCACAGCACTGTACGCCATCACTTGACACTATTGATGATTATACTTTATTAAGTCAGGTGGAGACATTAATATGACATATACATACACTACATATATACGTCTACGAGAAACTATAATAATACTGAATAATCGTCATGGGTTCTAAGCTATTTGGTTTACTTTAATGGCAATTGTGTGTGTGTGGTAGATTAAATGAATTACTATTAGTTTCATAATAATGTAGGCCTGTTAATCTCATATAAACATACCTATATCACGGTGATAGTGTGTTATTGTTAAATTATCAGTATGAATTGTAGTTAAACTGATGACTTATTTTTTTCTAGAAAACAATATATATATTTACAGCTATTCTTTTGTAAGTATATTGCCTTTATTATTATATTATTGTTCCCTTGGGTTCCTAGTGGAACACAGGGCTTCAACTGCACGTCTCCACTTGCTTCTGTCTTCTGCTGTACTTTTCACTTGCATCCATGTTAATCCATACTGTTTCAGTTCCTCT